GGCCCGACCAAGTGAAATTAGGTTTTTTAAACTCTGGTTGCCATAGTTTTACCGACCATCGGCCCGACTCAGGCCAGAGTCGGCCCGACCAATTGAAATTAGGTTTTTTAAACTCTGGCTGACATACTTTAGCCGACCATCGGCCCGACTCAGGCCAGAGTCGGCCCGACCAACTAAAATTAGGTTCTCTAAACTCTGGCTGCCATAGTTTTACCGACCGTCGGCCCGACTCAGGCCAGAGTCGGCCCGACCAATTGAAATTAGGTTTTTTAAACTCTGGTTGCCATAGTTTTACCGACCATCGGCCCGACTCAGGCCAGAGTCGGCCCGACCAATTGAAATTAGGTTTTTTAAACTCTGGCTGCCATAGTTTTACCGACCGTCGGCCCGACTCAGGCCAGAGTCGGCCCGACCAATTGAAATTAGGTTTTTTAAACTCTGGTTGCCATAGTTTTACCGACCATCGGCCCGACTCAGGCCAGAGTCGGCCCGACCAATTGAAATTAGGTTTTTTAAACTCTGGCTGACATACTTTAGCCGACCATCGGCCCGACTCAGGCCAGAGTCGGCCCGACCAACTAAAATTAGGTTCTCTAAACTCTGGCTGCCATAGTTTTACCGACCGTCGGCCCGACTCAGGCCAGAGTCGGCCCGACCAACAGAAATTAACCTTTTTAAACTCTGGCTGCCATAGTTTTACCGACCGTCGGCCCGACTCAGGCCAGAGTCGGCCCGACCAACAGAAATTAACCTTTTTAAACTCTGGCTGCCATAGTTTTACCGACCGTCGGCCCGACTCAGGCCAAAGTCGGCCCGACCAACTAAAATTAGGTTCTCTAAACTCTGGTTGCCATAGTTTTACCGACCATCGGCCCGACTCAGGCCAAAGTCGGCCCGACCAACAGAAATTAACCTTTTTAAACTCTGGCTGCCATACTTTAGCCGACCATCGGCCCGACTCAGGCCAGAGTCGGCCCGACCAACTAAAATTAGGTTCTCTAAACTCTGGCTGCCATAGTTTTACCGACCATCGGCCCGACTGAGGCCAGAGTCGGCCCGACCAACTAAAATTAGGTTCTCTAAACTTTGGCACCCATAGTCGGCCCAAACTTGGGTGGAAACAGTAACCAAAGTCGGCCCGACTTTGGCTGCCGACCTATTGGCAGCCATAGATGGGCCGACCTGCGCCCGACCTTCCAACTCTGGCGGCCGACCAAAATTCGCACCTGGGAATTTAAAAAATCTTTTTATTTTTTTAAAAATAGAAAAAAGGAGAAAAATTCTTTTACTGCTAACGGTCACGGTCGTAGAATTTTGACCTGACTTAGAATAACTGAAAAAATATTTGATTTATCACCACAAGAAAAGATAAGTAAAAAAAATGTCGTGTTGTAAATTTCTAGTATTGTCACTAAAGTAAATGCCAGTAATAAACCTTCTTGACTTTTTTGAAATAATTCCAAAAACAATCTTGTGAAAAAATTTTCTTTTCAAACTTAACTTTTAACTCATTTGTAAAGTTACTTATACTTTAAGTATAATTTAAAAAATTTTCAACACACTGAGAGAAAATATATATTAAATTTTGTAAAACTATTTTACAATTTGGAGAAAAAATGCGACAAAGACAAATTTTCGTATAAAAAATATTAAACATTAAAAAAATTTATTATAATATATAATAATTATATTTAGTGTAATTATGTCAAATATTAAAAATATTAATTAAATTTTAATATAACTTTACTAAATTTCACATAAGTTTTTTTAAAGTTTAGCATATTTTATATCAAAATTTTGCTTCGTTACACTTTTTCTCCAAATTGTAAAATACTTTTACAAAATTTAATATATATTCTCTCTGCGTGTACATTTTATGTTTACAATTTTTAAAATACAAAATTTTATCACTAAATTTATTTCTCATAATTTAAGAAAACGATTTTTGTATTTTAAAAAGAGGGGACAGTATTTGTACATATCTCACAACAATATGTATATAAGATTAAGCAATAGCAGTGTAGCTTTAGACAAAATTATCATCAGGGATCTATTTTAAAATTTTTAATGCCTTCAATGTCGTTGAAAAGAACAATTTCCCTTTAACTGATCCAAATCCCGTTTTTCTGGGTCACATACTTGCGCATTAGTTTGGCCGAATAAAAAAATCCCGGCCGTTTACTCACGTTCTTCTCTCGTGATGGCCATTTTTTGATCAGCGCACGCACAGTGGCGTCAGCAGCCGACGAATCTGATTTTAAATAATATCCCCTTTTGAGAATTTGAAAAAAAATTAAAATTTCTGCCAAGTTTTCCCCTCCCAATGTGGAAAAAAAAGAAAATTTCAGAGAAAGGAAACTCCAGAGTAGAAAAGTAAAGAAGGTGAGAGAAAATTTGGAAAAAAAGAAAAATGACAAGGGCGGTTTTTAAAAAAGCGCGACAGAGAAACGCGTGCCACTTGATAGCAAAAGGGAACTGCTCGTCTGAAAGCACAAATCCCAAGGAGTCTCTGGCAAACTACCAACGAGAACCTGGCTGGGCGTTATATTTAGTTGTCCGAGGAGCCACGAACTCACATTTATACAATCGCATCTCTCTCTCTCTCTCTCTCTCTCTTGTCTCCCCGATCTTATCTCTTGAAGCACCTTTCGCGGTCAATCATTAGGTCGCGAACTTTCAATTGTCACGGATCACGAAGTAGGTGAAAAAAAAACATTTTTTCCCCTAGTACGGAAAGTACATCATTTCGGACAGTCAATGCGGGCGTAAAAGACTTCCTTTACACCCGCATTGACTGCATTTACTTCGCACTCGATAATTAATTTTAAAAAAGTAGCAAAAAGTAACCTACAAACTAAAAAAAGTATAGCTATCAAAAAATTAAACTTGACAACCAAAAAAACTTGTTTTAGACACTTCACAAAACTGGACAAAAATTCCATTCTATATTTTCTTTTCCTCTTTTTCCTAATTTTCATCAAAAATATTTACTTTTTTCTTATCCTACTGCTAATAAATTCAATTCCTACAACGAATTTTATTATTCATGCGAAAGAATTTAAATATTTATAAAAATAATTTAATTCTTGCCAAGAATTTTATAAAAAATTTTAAATAATTTTATTCATTCCTTTCGACTAATTTTATGCAAATTCGAATTTAACTAATTGAATTACTAAGAAATTTTTATTATTTATGAAAAGAATTGAATTCTTACGATGATTTTTACAAAAAATTTTTAAATAATTGAATTCTGCTTGGAAATTTTATGAAAATAGTAGACATTAAAAATCATTGAATTGCGAAAAGTTTTTAAAAATAATTAAATTTTACAAAAAATTCTATTAAAATTTTTGACAATAATTGAACATCCGTGGGTTTTTTATTAAATTTTTTTGAAAATAATTGAATTTTTAAAAAGTATTTTATTATTTATGAAAATAATTGAATTCTTGCGAACAATTTTATTCGAATTTTTTTAAATAATTGAATTTCCAAGAAGAAATCTATTACTTTTAAAAATAATTGAATTCTTGTGATGAATATATTGTTATTTATTAAAATAATTTAATTTTGCAAAGAATTTTATTAAAATCCGTGAAAATAATTGAATTTTCGAGAATAATTTTGTTATTTATCTTTAATAATTGAACTCTTTTAAAGAATTATTTATGTAAATAATTGAATTCTTGTCAAGAATTTTATTAAAATTTAAAAGAATAATTTAATTATTTCAAAAAAATTTAATTTAAATTGTATTTAAAATTATTCACTTCTTTCGAGCAATTTTATTAAAATATTCGAAAATAATTCAATTCCTTTGAAAAAGTCTAATATTTTTTTTTTAAATAATTGAATTTTTCCAAAGAATTTAAAAAAAATATTTGTTTAAATAATTGATGTTTTTGAAATATAATACCTAAATAATGAAAATTTTATTTTAAATAATTAAATTCTTGTGGAAATAATTAAATTTTTCGATTTATTATTTAAAAATAGTATTAAAAATAATTGACTTTCTTCGACGAGTTTTATTATTTATGAAAATAATTGAATTCTTGCTTTAAATTTTATTATTTGTGAAAATGAATTTTATTAAAATTTTCAAAAATAATTGAATTATTGCGAAAAATTTTATTAAAATGTTTAAAAAGAGTTGAATTTCTGTGAAAAATTTTGTTATTTTTTTAATTGTCAAACTCTTCCGATTTGATTCTAAATAAATATAGAAAGAACATTTTGGGTCCGTTTATTGGACAAATGAAACAAATTTCATTTGCTGGGTATTGATTGTATTGTTCATAAATTTTCATAGATATTCAGTGTTACCATAGGTGTTAGAAGAAAAGCAAATAAGATTGCACTACGTACGGAAAATACTTTTCCAAATTCAGAAAACTTATCATTGAAATAAAAAACAAGATCATCCCTTTCAGAAATAGAAACATCTTATCGTCGGGTTAGCGCAATATCAGACTTATTCGACAAACAAAGCAAGAACATACTTATTCAGAAAAAAGGCAAGAACATGCTTATTCAAAATATAAAGTAAAAACAAACAAATTCGCAAATTAACCTTTTTAGTCAGATTTTAAATTTTACTTTTGTACAATTGTTTTACGAATAATAACTTTTATTTAGTTCCATTGAGAATAATTTTTTTAATATTTTGTTTTTCTAATATGAAAAGTATTATTGAAATAAAATTATAATATTCTTGATAATTTAAAGTCTGACTAAAAAGGTTAATTTGCGAATTCGTTTGTTTTTACTTTATATTTTGAATAAGCATGTTCTTGCCTCTTTTCTGAATAAGTATGTTCTTGCCTTGTTTATTGAATAAGTATGATATTGCGCTAACCCGACGTTATGCAGTATTTTAATTTTTGTCACTTATATAATAGAATTGTTTTTTAATTTCAAAAATATGTTTATCTGCACTTGAATAATTACAGAAAGAAATTTTTTTAGTTTTTATAGAGTAAATTTTAGAATCATACCTTTTGGATTCAGTCTTTCTGGGTTAAACCATGCATCTGTAAACAATATAAAGCAATTGCAGAGTTAATAATTTACACTCCATCACCGGAAAATTAGGAAATAGAAAAGTATCAGATATTAGGATAGAAAATGTCATAAATATAGAAAAAAGCAGTTAGAAATGCAGCGTCAATATTTCTCGTTTTAATTCTAAATCGCATCAATCAATAAATTATAGATATTAGTACCTTAAATAATTTATCATACTTCAAAATATTTATAAATATTAGTATTTCTATTATATACATATATGGTATTTATTTATTTATTATTATAGTATATATTTTTTTATTAAAGTGATTGAAGGTTCATTACAAGAAAGTTTTGTTTCTAAACAGCAAAACCCAATTTAAGTTGATAAATAATTTTTTCTAACTTCCAAGAAATTAGTTATAAGAATTCGAATCTCTTGCTTACAATTTATGCAGTACACAGTAAAAAATAAATCTTATGTTGCACACTGCATTTTAACCATTTTTTTCATTCAGTTATTTATTTACTATTTAGTTGTATATTGAAAATTAAAAGCCCCTAAAATTCCAGAAGGTTCAAATGAGCGAAACTTATTTGTTTCTTTTAGAAGTTAAAATTTTATTGCAATATGACGTCACGCATAAAACTTGTAAATGTTTAACAATATTTTTGCTTCTTCAGTCAGTAATTTTGTATAAATATTTATAGAGGCAAAAAATTCCACTCATTTGAACGTTTAGAACTTGTGCGGATCATGAAAGTAATTAAAATAGAAATAAAGAATTCAAGGTATTAAATAAATAATATTATTATTTTTTTTATTATTAAGTATTTATAATATAGTTTTAGTGGATAGAAGAAGAAAAAGAGAAAAGTTTACAAACTTTTAATTATTAGAAAGAAAATTGGATGCTTCTTTACTAAGATAAATGTCCCAGAAATAGTATAGACAACTAGGAAGTAAATTAGGATATAAAAATAATAAATTTTGGTAAAAAGAAATATAAATTAAGGCTTTAAATAAATTAGAAGAAGGGGATTAAAAATTGTTTAAATTGACATTATGAAGCGTTACACGTGAGCGCCCATTTGAACACGTAATACGCGCACTTGACACACAATATAGCTGTACATATACATATGTACACAATAATGTCCCTGAATAACGTCAAGATTCAATCTCTCACTTTTATAACACTGCTTTAATTTTATTCAATTTTACTTTTTTCCATTTCTGTTTCCTCTTATTTCTTCAATTTTCGTTTTTATAGATAAAAGCTAATTTCTTTATTTATTAAATATAATTTTCTTTTTCTTTCTGCTTTATACTTTTTATTATATTTTTGGTCCTTTTTGGAATGATTGTAAATGGTAACAAATAAATAGTCTGCAATCCTTCTTGGACTGCAGAAATGAATCTCAATAAATAAATATAAATAAAAATAATAAGTAATTAATGTAAATTAATAGACAAAGAATTTAAAGACATTCTTTTATTGCAATAAGAAAATGATTAGTTTTAATAATAACTGACAATAACAAAGCCTCTCACCTCGACATCTTTAGAAGTGTTATACTTCTGTCAGTGTTACATTATTAAAAAAGAAAAAAAATTACTATCAAGTGGGCCCAAAACTTTTATTTCAATTAATGCTTTTGCGGTACCAATTTGATTCTTGTTGGTACCAATTTATCAAATTATTTAAAACTTTTGGTACCAATTTAATTCTTGTTGGTAACAATTTAATACTATTTTTGGTATCAAACTTAATTATTTTGGATACGAATTTTTTTAATTAATTTCTGATGGACAAAAATTTTAACGCTTACTGAATTTTCAAACCACTTTTAAGGGTAGATTGCAATGAGGTCAGTTACCTACCACAAGAACTAGAGACTATTTAATCGATACCATTTACAATCACAAAAGCGAAGAATTTTTTATCACTTTTCGGAACGTTTATAAGTTTATTTCTTAAATAAATATACGAGACAATTTATTTATAAAGTAGGCAAAAGTTAGTTTTACTAAATATTAAACTTAAACAAAAAACTTTAAAACCTTTAAACAAAAAGCTTTGAAACCTTTCAAAAAATAAAAAAAAAACTTGTTTTATATGAATTTTACAATTATAAGAGAAAATGCCAATTGAAAATTGAAAAAATTGATATAAAATGTAATAGAAAAATAATAGAAAAATAATTTCCTTACAAATATGCGCACTAAAGTTCTTTCTAACGTTGAATATTGTTTTTAAACTGATTACGAAACTTTCTAAATATAGATTGCAATTAGTTCAAAGTAGGAAAAAATAAGTGCTATAGAAGAATAAAATAATTAAAGCCTCATCTGATAGATAAGATTTTTAAAGATTCTCTAATGTTTAACAGTAGGAATAGAAAACTAATTATGAAAATGAAAAATACTGATAAAATTAATTTCTATTTGATAGAAGTACAAAACAAGGTTATGGAAAATATGGAATAAAAAATAGAAATAAAATCAGAAATAACATAATTATAGGACTCGTATCGACTATGAGGCGCAAAAAAAGTCCCTTTAGTCGATATTAAATTCATAATTCTAAAGGATAAAAAATTGTTATTAATAAATTAATTATGACTTAAGACTTTCATTTTCTTAACTGAAAATACGAAAATGACTCATTGAATAATTATTACGATAAATAGAAAATCATCTCTACTCCATAGTTACAGAAAAAAAAATTTGTCATCCTTCGTTCATTTAAATGGCAATATTTTTTTCTAATAGTCACCCCATCTTTCAGTTTTTACTCAAACTTTAAATTTTTATTGATTTTATTCCATTTATTTCGCATATTCCGCAAATAATATATGAAATGTGTATAAATAAATAAATAACTAACTAAATAAAAAAAATAAATAAATAAGAGAAAGAAAAACGAAAACAAAGAAAAATAATCAAAACAAAGTCTAGAGACATAGTGGAAAATAGAAGAAAAATATTTGCCATGCAATTGACTCAAGAGTTTAGGTCAATTTTTTAAAAATGACCATATTCTCCACAATTGTGAAATTAAAATCTGTATTTGCAGAGTTTTCGCGAAAAAAAAGTGAAAAAAATCGAAGAAACTAGCATTTCTGTCAGCACCATATTAAAATTCTCCAGTCTCCCAGTTCTCTCTCGATTCTCGTATGAACGAAGATAGCAGGTCACAAAAATGAGAGAGAAAGGAATAGGAGAGTTATGATTCTGACAGCTAGGTGGTTGCCCGACCTCGGTCAATTCTGCGCGACGTTTCAACCCCAAATTGACCCTATTAAACTCTATTAAAGAAAAAAAGAAAAAAGAAAACAAAGGAAGCAAAAAGAATTCTTACGAGGATCGAGAATATTCCAGAAACATGGAGTATTTCCATTGCAGACTTGATCCTTTGCCGGTGCAGTTTCCGAACCCATGTTTACTCCCACAATTATTTTTTTAAACTCTTCAATCCAGAATCGCACTGTTTTTTTTCTTTTTTCGACACTCCCGCAGACAACCTCTTTTTTTTGGAAAAAAGGATGCTGACCGGAGACTGACACGCAAAAGATTAACAAAAACAGAATTTTCAAAACAAACAATATCCGTGCGCAAGATTATTGATGATCAATTTCTCTCTCAACTGCCACAAAAATTTCTCTTTTCTCACTCACACGTCACACGTGCAGGAGAGAAAACTGCGAAACTTTTACCAAAAATAATTTTCTTTCATGCACGAAAGAGGATTTTTTTTGTGGTGGAAAATGGTTTTTCCGAATAGAGGTAAAAATATCAACGTGACGACGAGTTCACGTCGAAGAGAGAACTGAGGCTGTATCGACCCATGAGAATGGCTCCCCACCAGAAGTAAACTACGCACGAGCAGAGCTGAAGACGAGTCAAAACTATATAGATATACTAAAAATCAGCCATATTGCTTTGTGAATTTGTGATTCACTCCTGACATTAAGTGTGACAACCAATGATGATGAAGAGTTTGAAATTCGAATTTCGAATTTCATAATTTACAAATGGGAAATAATTCACATTTCAAGATTTTTTTTCTTCTTCGAGTGTTGCAAGCCAAGACGAACAGCAAAAGAAGCAAAAAACTAGTATTGACTCTAACGTTTCTTCTTCGAGCGCCATTTGCATTTTTCCTTTTCGCCGATAATTGTCAATTTTGATTTTTAAATTCGGAAACAATTGCATGGGGCAATTCTTGCCATTCGAGGGAAACTACCTCAGGAAAAAATAATTGTTTTTGTCAATTATTTGAAAATTTAGAAAGAAAATAAATTTCCAGGTGGAGGGCCGACAGGGGCGTAAGTAAAATTAAGCGCGCCCGGGAGCAATTAGAAACAATTAATGTTCTAAGTTTTTAGATTCTGTTTAGAAATTATTCAATTCATTATTCAAATATAAAAATTCAATTCTTTTACAAAAATTACAAGCTTTTTTTGAAAAATTCATTTTCGAATTAGAAATTCATAAACCTTTCGCGTTAGCTAAATGTAAGCTGAAACTTTTTTTTTATTTAACTAAATTTAATTTCTTATGGCTTTATTATAAATATATCGTAGTTTATTAATATGTTATTATGGAAGGTTATAGATCGAGTACTTTTTAACGCCCTCTCGCATTGTTCTGACGTCTTCACTCCTAATATATAATATACAATTATTCTCGGATAGAAAATTCATTTTTAAAACAATCAATAATGTAAAACTAGTATTAATATATGAATAATATTTAATTCATTATTATTTTTCCAAAGGAATTAAAATTCTTCAAAACATTCAAATTTAAACCTTTTGAAATTCAATAACTTTTGAAAATATTATAAAACATGAAGATATCGATCATGTTCGATATCTTCATGTTTTTTAATAATTTATTTACATAAAATTTTTCAAAAAATTAAATTAAAATATTTACAAAAATTTTAATAAAATCCTTCGCAAGAATTCAATTATTTTTACAAATAATACAATTTTGCACATCAATTCAATTATTTAA